TCTCATCATTCGTAACTTTTTGTGGAAAAAAATTATGAATTTTCATGTCATGGGGTGCGTTTTTGTAGGCTCCCTGGGTGTATGTGGTATTATGCTGAATTGGGGATTGATTGATCACGGACAGGTTGAATGTGGTAAATTGTAACGAGTGAATGCTTTGAGAGTCGTATTAGCTAGGTATAGGATAGCAATGATGACCAGCCTCAGCTCACCCCCCACCCCACACACACTTTTCGCCCTTGTGCCATCATTTTGTATTTTGCAAAATAAATCTTGTCAGAAAATTATTCTTGCTCGAGAGAGATGTTATATTTCTGGTTCCGTGGTAAAAGCATTCGGGTCCCCACGTAAAATAAAAGAATATTCGACTTACAGTGTCGAATTAATATAATTATTTTTCACTATATTAGATAATTTTTAGAAAAATAATGTTATAATTAATGTTTATCGAATTTTCTTTGAGAATGGGAAATATTACTGTATTGGAATAAAATCAATATAAATTCTATGTGGTAAAATTTTATGCTTAAAAACTCCAGTCATTGGTTAGTTTTAAACTGCATAACGCCTACGCATTACTTAGAACTCTAATGATTTTTCTTGAAAAAGGTTCTATCCTTTTATGGGGGTTCGTTTTTGTAGATCCCCTCTGAGTGTATGGTGAATGAAGGATTGGTTGATCACGGACAGGTTCTTTTGGTGAATGTCGTAAATTGTAACGAGTGAATGGGTTGCGAATCGGATTAGCCAGGTATAGGATATCAGTGATGACCAACTTCAGCTCAACACCTCCCTTTTTCGACCTTATGCCAGAATTTTGTATTTTTGCAAAATAAAACTCGTCAGTAGGAGTGTATTACTAAATAATGTAAGGCTCATTCTTGGTGAAAATTGTTTTACATAAAACATATTGTTTTCTTGTACTATATTTTTAGTGTTTATATCGTTTAGTTTTTCTAGGGATAATTTTATTTGGCTATCAATATTTTAACAATAATTTTATTTGGTTATTCAGTTTGTATACATTATTGTTAACTAACTTCTGCTCGATATGTTTGAGTTCACTAAAAAATATTTTCAGTAGGAGGAAGTTAGGTGTGCTCTATTTAAGAAGTTCTTTATCAGTCTTATTTTATATCTTTGTCGTATTCGCTGGTGTAGTTTAAAGGGCAGGAGTTCGTATTAGTGTTTTTTATACACTGCGTGCCAAATTATTATCGAGATAACTTTTTTCTAATATTTCAAAAACCGTTCAATCAATTCACACAAAATTTTCACACAATGTTGGCAATACTGAGCTGTGCAATCACTAAAATTTTCGTACTGATATGTGCAATGCAAAAAAAACTGGCGCCATATTTGTTATCAGCTCGGTGATTTGAGCGTGCCAAATTATTAGAAAAGTATAAGAATTTAGTGAAACGATTGGCCGTAAAAGCATTTTAAGTGCAAAGAAAACTATTACCTCAGAACTATCAAAAGGTAAATCTACCCTAGAAATTTTTAAAATGATAGCGAAGTGTCATCAAACAGTGAAAAATTCACCGCCGACCCTACACAAGTACGCAAAAGGCATTTAAAGGCAAGCCGAGAGTTATTTCACGTCGTCTCATGTCACGACTTAAACGAGAGGCCACGAAGAATCCTGGACTTACCAGTCAAGAGCTTTTTCAGTCGTATTGGGGATCCTACTGTGTCTAAAAGTACTCGGTGTCGGTATCTGAGGGAAATAGCAACAACAGTCAAACCTGTATCGAAGTTTCCTTTGACGAGAAATTACATTCAAAATCGATTGAAATGGGCCGAGGACAATATGAAGATTGACTTCTCTAAAGTTTTGTTCACAGACGAAACTCAAGCAACACTTGATGGGCCAGATAGATGGTGCAAAGTCTGGGTAATGAACGGATCAGTGTTTGAGACGCCAACAAGGCGGTGGAGGCATAATGATCTAGGGTGGTATTATTGGAAACACATTGGGCCAATGGAGAGTATTAGATGGCGTCAAAATGACTGCTGATGCATACATAGCGTTTATGAAGGAGCATCTTGAACCGTGGATGAAAAGGCAAAGAGTTGCCTTCAGAAGGTCCATTGTTTTTTATGCAAGATAATGCTCCCTCACACGCTGCTCACAAGACTATTGAATATTTGAAACAGTTAGGCTTCGATGGACCTCGAAAAATGAAGTGGCCAGCAAATTCTCCGGATTTGAACCCAATCGAAAACTTTTGGAGCATCATGAAGCGAAGACTGTACGCCAACGGACGACAATTCAGGAGCAACGCTGAGTTGTGGGAAGCAATTCTTGACATATCTCGCGGCATTACAGCAGATGACATCCTACAATTAACAAACTCTATGGATCGTCGACTTTTTCAAGTAATTTCAAAACAGGGAAAGCACATTCCCTATTAATTAGTTAAAAATTATTCCTTTGTTTGTATCTGTTATTATTTGTTTGATTATCTTATTTATTAGCTTCTTTTGATCATAAACATTCACGTTCAACATTAATAAACGTTTTGTTTGCTTGTTTGTCTGGGAATTTTACTAAACCTTTCTAATAATTTGGCACGCTCATATCACCGTGCTGATAACAAATATGGCGCCAGTTTGTTTACATTGCGCAGATCAGTACGAAATTTTCAATGATTGCGCAGCTCAGTGTTGTCAATATTGTGTAAAAAATTTGTGTGAATTGATTGGACGGTTTTTGAAATATTAGAAAAAAAGTTATCTCGATAATAATTTGGCACGCAATGTATACAAGTAGGTGCTAAATGCATTGAAGTTGAGTTCTATGTATACGTCGAGACAAGGTATTTTGTTATTAACAAAAGGGCAGACTTATTTACAATAGTTAAATTTAGGCTTGTAATTTCAATGTTAATTTTTGATAATATAAGAATATCATAGACATAACTTGTATAGATTTTAATAGAAATTTAATAAACTACTTATATTATTCGTCTGTCACATTTAATGAAACACACACATCTATCTCTATCTCTCTCTCTCTCTCATATATATATATATGTGTGTGTGTGTGTGTGTGTGTAAAATAGGATGCAGAATTCAGACAAAATTTGAAGAATATGACAAATGGAAAACCATTTCACTGGAACTAGATTACACATTTCGCCCTTACTATGCTTCATCAGTTCAAAAACGAAAAAAAGGTCTAGACGAGTGCATATTTGTGTGTATGCTTATATTATAAATCGTTAATATTTTTTCCGCTAAGCTGGTGTTTATCGGGATTAAAGAAAAGAATGAAATTGTGCGACTTTTGTAAAAAAAAAACACAAAAAACAGCCGTTATATTTATTCTGTATCTTTTCTTTACAGTTTTGTTGTTCTTGCCAAAATTTATTTATTTATTCGCCCAGATTTTTGACATTGAACTTAAGGTTAATGCTCATCCTATTTTCAGAATGGCTCAAAATTAAATCTATCATGTGTCGCTATTTATTTAGCTTCATCAGAAATTTTCAAAGTGGAATAATACAGAGTTATATTTCAATTTTTAAATTATCTGTTTATTTTGTTTTCATTGGCTGTATAGACATGACGTACTTACCTCATAGCGTTTGTGTGTATGTTTTATTCTTGGAATGTTAGTCTAATTCAAGTGTGTGTAAAATTTGGCATCTTAGTTTTAATTTCCTGGATAAATATCAGAAATTTTGAAGTAAATGTTTTATTAAATTACACCATCTAAAAATGTATGAATCTTATATTCTTTAAGTAAATCTTATACAAATATTTATGATATGAAGAAATGTGTTGGATGGTCATTTGTTGTATTCTTTTCTATCTATCTTTCTCCGTAACAGGTTGTGTTCATTTTTCATTAAGGTAGCATTTTTTAAATCAAAAGTTATGGCCTGATTTGTTTCTGTGTTTTCTATTAAGGAATTTAATGTTATTTCAACAGAAGTATCTTCTGAAATGTGGGTCCGATATTTGAATTACAAAGGTTGTTCCGATCATATCCAGTCATTTTGAATATTTGAGAACTGGTTGTGCGGTCTTGATGAAATTTGGCAATCAGTCATTGAGGACATTACTACACATGCGTGAATAGACATTCTCTTGTGATGTTAACTAATCAACAGTAAGGCGCCACTGAGTGAGCTTGTATACTGTGTCACGTTTACAATGACTGAGCGCGGCGCGTAGATCTTTCACATATTGTGCATTATTTTTGACAAAATATTGCATATCTAAAGGTTTATCAAGACCCAGATGTGATCAGAAGAAATTTAGCTTTTCTTAAACGCCTCTGAAACATCTTGGATAAGATTAAGGTAAACGTTACTGGGTTTTAGAATCCCGAAAGATGAGTTTTTCAGAAAGTTTTGAAAAGAGAAAGAAACGACGAGATAAGTGTGAGATCCCAAGAAGAGTACTTTGAAGTGGACTAAGGTGCTATTCAAGCTATTTTTATTATATTAAATAGCTGGATACTTTTTGAACATAGTCAATGTTTATTTTTGCAGTTATAAAGGTAGTGTATTACAAGTCACTTCCTGTTCTTGAAATTCTTATACGGTTACCCATTAAAATAAACTGATTAGATCCGATGTTGTTAATATTTTGTAATCATACGAGAACCGGTGTTTTTCAACATATTTTGTGCGAAAGTCTAAAAGCCTTACTATATTTAGTCAGTTACTAAATTCATGTGCACTCAAGCGTGTCGGAATTTGCTACACTGTCAAAATAGTCTGTGAGATAAGCTCATTAACCATCACGTTAAGACAGGCACGACAGTAGGTTTTAGAATCTACACATTTTACAAATTAGACATAACTAATAATGATAAACATTTGAATGTTTCAATGAATTTTGAAAACATTCGATGACACGTTGTTGAGTCATCCATTTGACTTTCTACTACGATAAATAAAAGATCCATCATTTTCTAAGAATTTTTGTTTCATATTTGTTTCGAAAGGGAAGTCATGTCTGGTTACGATTACGCTTCTTAAAATTCAACAATTCCATTCCAAACGATATAATGTCAAATTTGGTCTCAATTTCACGACACAGTTGTCTGTCTCCGAGATATTCTTCATGTTGACACACACGTTTGCCATTTCTGCAAATTGGTCGCAATCGTGGTGGGACTGACATACATCTTCGCATCTCAACCCGCCGCAGTTTGGCATGATTTCCACTCCACACAAATCCTCGAGGTCATACACTTTTACAGGTTTCCACTTACGAACTGAAATAAAATCGAGAAATTTAAAATGTACAAAACGTATTTCGTGATCAAATATAATTGAAAAACTAATTTCTTCCTACTATCAAAGAATGGCGTCATATTTTGCAATTGATTTTTAATTATCTCGTATCAAAAAGGTTTCTGTTTATTTTTTGATGTTCAGTACTTACTGAATATTGAATTAAAATTAAGGACAACAATTGATCTTTTACCTTGTTGTGATGCTGTAAATGAAAACAATTATAATAAATAAAACTATTTTTAATACATGCATATATTTAAACATATCTCTCTTTAAAACCAATCATAACTTAGGAGTTAATTCAACAGAATATTTCTACTATAAATATATGTGATTACTAATACATCACCAAAAGGGTTCCCTATATATATATATATATATATATATATATATATATATATATATATATATATAG